TCCTCCGGGTGGATTCCAGAATTATGCCCTTCTTATTGTGTTCTTCCTTGGGTATTTCAACAGGCCGTAATTCAACGGTGACATACGTCCGATGTCACCGTTACAACTCAAGGCGTCGTCGTTATAACATATGCAACATTGAAAGATTAACTAAACATGTTGGTGAACTCATTTACTAATATGAATAGAAGCAAATATGCGTGCCCCAGGTTCTTGTTGTAAAGAAGGAGACGCGATCACTGGAACTACAGTTGTATTATCCTGAGCTTTCGGCTTTCGACTTCAGGGGCACGCGGATAATAGCACGTGCGGCTAATAAAACGAGGCGAGAACTACTGGAGGCCTGGGTGTCAGATTCCAACTCCATCAAGAGGCATGTGGATATATCCCCCTGATATTTTGCCCTCTGTACTCGCGACCAAGAAGTACAGCCCAGTTCCTCTCCAGGCACGCACGCTGTCACGCCAAGGAGGCAAGACACGATGCCAAGGTCGCACGCCATAACACCAAGGACGGGCGCAGAGGCGGCACTATGAGATGGCGTGAGCATGGACCATCCCAAATGCCAGCCCTCCCCCTTTTTACTCGTAGCTAGACTACAAACGCATGCCGACGCTTGCTGCTTTCTCATTTTTTCTGGCGATGGCTTCTTGTGTGAAGCCTAAAGCTCAGAATAATATAACTACCCTTCCAGTTATCGCGTCCTCTTCTTCGTTTACTAATATATTCTGCAAATTATCACAGTTTACTGCCACTTTGGTTATTTAGGATTTAAGCAATCGTGGAGATGAGTTAACTCGCGTTTTCAGCTTTAAAGTCACGCACAAATATGCTGTTTGGCGCCGGAATAGCTGGAACGCGACGTCTATACTTTGGCTCTATGAAGACCTCGGTGCCTGAAGGTACTTTTTCGCGAAACCCATCATCCCCTATATCATTTCACAGTATCAACCAAGAGTTTCCTTCTACATCTGGACCTAATGCTGTTTTTACCGACAAACACAGAGCACACCACGAAGGCCTTTTCTGCCTCATTGGACGTCATCAGGTGGTGATAGCCCAACTCCAGTGTAGCAGCGGAAGTTGCCGTCACACCCGAGTTTCGAACTCGCGTCTCTCCGGCCAGAGGCGAACGCTCTAATCCTTGAGCCACGGGTCCGCCGTGTTGTCGGTTTGTGATCGGGACTACTATGTCATCGTGGGAGGGTCGTTCACGAATCAGGCTGCGGAACACGCTCGCCTCGTTGCGTCTTGCAGCTCAGCCTCGAGTCCCCACAGGCATTCAGGCAGAAAATGGCAATGTTGCAGAAGAGTGCTGGAATTGACCACAACTGATGAGGGTCTCGGTTCAAATAGCAGGCTTTCCGGACCTGTAGCTGAGGTGTGTTTGCCTGATGACGGCTGATAAGCTAGAAACGGTCACTCCAGGCCTTTTCCTATTTATCGAGACTTTATTTAGATAATTATCGATCGTTCGGTAACGGACTGGAAGGACTCTAGATTGACTCCTAAGACACAACGAAATAAAGGTGTTCCTCAACCCTTCCAGGATAACCGATTGATAAGGCGCTAATCGAACATTGCTACTATTCCTAATGGACACCAACAGTACGAGGCCGTGCCTCAGTGATAAGAGCGTTTGACTTCTAGCCAGCAGGTCCTGTTGCAACGTCTGGCTTAGGCATGACTGGCTGATGATGGTTAATAAGTCAGAAATGGCCATTCCAGTTTCACGTGTATTTATCGGTATAATTGTTTTGCCGATAATATGAATCTATAGTAGTTAAATACGGCCCAGACCTGACTCGCTGATGTCCTGGTAATAATAAACTGCCAAGGCAACAGTGTATACTGGGGGCTTTATTATAAAAAAATACGTATAAAAAATACAAATGTTGTGCGTAAGCAGAGAGGCATAAAACAATCAAGTTCAATTCTCGATACCACCGCTATGGGAGCGTGATTTTAAACGTAATTTTGTGTAGAATTTGGAAACCTCCGGATCCGCTCGAATGCATTCTGGTCTCCAGTCCAGCAGGTGTAAGCCCGCCAAGCTGCGGCATCGTGATAGGGCCACATACGCCTGACCGTATTCGAAGACCTGGAAGGCAGGAGAGGCACAGAAACCCTTTCATTTATAGGCTTTTTCCGTAGTCAGTAATGACAATTACTGTTACGACTAGCACCTGGTATTTGTAACTGGCACGAACTCTGAGCCAGTCTGGCTGTTGTCCCCAAGGCCCAGTACCAGAGAAGTCAATCGGCCACGAGGGAAATGTATTAACACAACACAAGTCACTCTCACAAAAGGCTGCGGGGTGTTTACTCAGTTTGATGAGAGAGCATTGGCGACACCGGACCAAGCAGCAATGAGGAAAAATCGATAGCTAGGGTGCGCGCTCTCATTGCCGTGGCGTGACAACCGCGCTCCGACGCCTTTCTGTGCTGTGACTCATCGTGGGAATGGACGCCTTTCCAACATAATTAAACTTGCTCACTTTTGAAACTGGATCGAGTTCTTCTGTTGTAATATGTCAACGTCGCCAAGTCGCGCATCCTGACAGTCAGAACCCTGCATGCTCTACGTGCTGTGGCCGGCGGCCTAGTTGATATTTCGCAATGCGAAATGTTCACCTTTTGTCATGTCTTCTCTTCTTTCATTGGTACTCTTCGTATTCGTTTCTTTTCTAGACCTCTGCGGCCTTCTAGTTTTCCTTTTTGGAAAGCGTTGTTTTGAGAGGCATTTTGTTTATCACCTCCGAATTAATCATCAAATTATTTACTCCAGGGAAACGTTCTGCCCAATAAGGGAGGTGAGTAGAATCCTACTTTAGGTCTCAGATCAGCACGCGAAAGCCCCATCCTTCTGTAATACAGGACCGGATGTAATAAAGAGCATACAGTATAGGCAATACAGAGGAAAGGAAATATAAATAAAAAAGTTCATAACAGTAAAAAACAGGAATAATTATTTTGTTTGTCAATAAAAAGCGCGCCACAATTAAAATATGCAAATATTGGGAAATAAATAAAATTTTTATTAGCACGAACGCTGAGCTAACCCGACTGTTGTCCCGAACGCCAGCACTAGAGAAGAAGAGAAGCCAATCGGCCAGGAGGAGAAGTGTATTGACACAGTATAAGATATGCAAGTCACGCTCACAAGAGGCTGCGGCGTAATTATTCCGTCAGGTTGATGAGGAAGCATTGGCGACACCGGACCAATCAGCTATGAGGAAAAATCGATAGCTAGGATGCGCGCTCTCATTGCCGCGACGTGAAAACTGCGCCCAAGCGCCTTTCTGTGCTGTGACGCATCGTGGGAATGAACGCATTCCCAACACTCTTTCTAATTGAAAACACATTTCAAAATTTCGGTTAACATTTAATGAGATCAGTTACTGTCGGGTGTGTAGCAGAGACTAAGGCTATATGCAGTAGGATGCTTACGCCGCATGGGACTCAGACTTCGGGCTGGCAACGTTGTGACGCCGACTTATATTATCCCCTTGCCATACTTGATGTAGAGTCCCCTGCCGCTTTTGATGTTCTGATCGACTGCCACCAGCCTCTTCTTTGCAAAAAAACAACCACTCTCGCCGTCCGGAATATCTCGTCCCCATCTCATTTACATGAATTACATATTTTATGGGTGCTTTATTGTGCCTTCTTAATGCTATGGAGAATCGTGTGCAGCGCCCTACACGGAAAGCCTACAGCTTGTAAACTGAGAACCCTAAACGCAAATGCAAGGGTAGGTCGGGTTCAAATGTTTTCAGACATCGGGATGCATCGTTAAAATCAGCTATATCTCGTCCTTGAATATTATATTTGAATAAGCCGTGATTTTCTCTGAATTCAGCACAAGAAAGACTATGTTTGGTTACATTTTCCATAAAAATTGATTTAAACTTATAAAGGCATCGAAAATCAATATAAAAACGCATACTACTTCAGTGGTTATTTCGTGCAGAGTGCGGTTTTCGCACGCGGCAAAAAAGATGCGCATTCAAAAGTCGGAATTCCGGCTATTCTAG